GCAGATGCTGCAAAATTAAACCTTAAAGACTGGGGGAGTCAAAAGACTCAGGACACTCTTATCTCTGAAAGAAAATGAGAACTGACATATCTGAATACCTCAACCAGTAACTGGTGACAGAGCCTATATTTGGGAAAATGCCCTATAACCAACAGCTTTCAAGATGGCAGCCATGTTCTGGACGTAACCTAAAAGAAAGCCCCCCCCTTCACCCATTACTTGCTGAGGTATTCAGATATTTAATTTTCCATTTCTTTCTGAAATAAAACGGTGTCGTAGGACTTTTGACTCTCCCTGTAGTTTTGTTTTAGATGTGTGAAACACCAATTGTATGTAAAGCTAATTTAGCACAATATAATAATAAATATGGATGCTATGTGTGCAAGCCTGTCACAATAACAAATTTTGGTGGACAACAATTGTCTCAGTTGGTAGAGCTGATGCCTCTCAGCAAGAAGGTTGCCTGATCAAATCCCGGCCCGGGGACCTTTCTAGGTAGAGTTTGCATGTTCTCTCTGTGCATGCGTGGGTTCTCTCCGGGTACTCCGGCTTCCTCCCACAGACCAAAAACATAACTGTTAGGTTAAATGATAACTCTAAATTGTTCCTAGGTGTGAGTGAGAGAGTGAATGCTTGTTTGTCTTGTTTGTCTCTATGTGTGGCCCTGTGACGGACTTGAGACCTGTCCATGGTGTACTCCGCCCCTCATACTGTGACTGCTGGATATGGGCACCAGTGACCCTGAAAGGAAGAAACGGGTATAATGGATGAATGGATGGATAACGATGTCCCCTGCTTATGAAAGTTTATAACATTTGAGTATGTTAAAAAAAAAGGTTACGAATTGACTGCTTATGAAATCAATACACAACAGCAGCTGCTGAAGATATAAAATTGCTTTCCACTTCCTCTATTCAAGCCAGTACAATTTATTCTGTATGTCTCTTCCTCTGGCTTCATAAAACAACTGCAGTTACCTTCATCCCGCTTACGAAATATATGAAAATTTAGAAATTTACATAAAGTTACAAACAGACCGGGAGTGGAATTTGTAAAAACACACAACTACTGAAGCTGTAACATCGCGACCCACCTTAAGCCAAGCTGGCACACTTTATTCTGTGGGTCTTCCTCTGGCTTCATAAAATAATTGCGGTCACCCATGCAAAGTTTAAAAAAATTACGAAGAGTAAAAACAAAACAAAAAAAATGAACAACTCTTGGCAAACCCAAGGTTCAGCATGACACCTTGAGTACATCCTGAGGTGTTGTCAGCTGAAAGAAGGTGTCAGAAAACCGAAGATGCTCCTCTCGATAAATGCCTGTTCATGGGGCTCTCATGCTAGAGGTTAGAGAGCATGATCCTGGCAAATACCTGACAAGAGTTCCCTCCTCTCTACGCTGAGGAGTAGAAAAAAGGGCGACATGAAGAAAACAAAACAGGTAAATGAAATTATCAAACTCATTTTAATTTATTGTGTGATTAATTGATATATTGCTCATAGCAACAGGCCTGTGTGTATGTGTGTGTTAGCAACACATCTTATGAACCACTGTAAAACATTATTAAAATTTGCATAAAGTACTTATTGGATCTACATCAGCGGCTGATTACCTTCTGAAGTAAATCCCATTCAAGATGGCCACTACAACTTTGTTTTGTAAATTAAAATTGTACAAATATGGAGTTAAATTTGTTGTGGTAGTAGCCGAGATTTACCACTCAACTCAGCTTTGCCATTTCTCAACATAATACAGCTTCAGTGTGGCAGGTAAAGTGCATTTCTTTGAATAACGTTAATTAATGGATCATGATTATTAAAACTGAGCGTTGGTTTCACTCATTTTGTTTTAAGACACGAACAGACTGGAAGTCCTTAGGGTTCCAACATCTGGCTGTAGGCCCGGTTAATACTGATTTAGTTTATAGAAAATGAGGGAAAATAAATTGTTCACATGATTACTGCCTCAAACTTCTGCTGAAGTTAGGGTTGAATGTTTCGGTAATGAGCTTGTGGTTCTCGCACCAAAGGGCCTTCTTGCTACGTCACGACCAGCTGTTCTTGGACAATCATTAAGTACAAATATTTCTCCAAGTACTCATGCTTAAGGTGGGGGGGAACATTGTGTCACCTCCTTTTAGAACTCTAATTACAAACACACACGAGGCAAAGGCAGGCTTTTACTCGTGAACTAAGTTTTGGTTCACTCGTCTTGTAATAGAACAGCCGAACCACCAAACAAAAGAGAAGAAATAGTCATTTGAGAGGGATCACATTTCTTTACGAATCCTCCAGACATGTTGAGAAGTGTCTTTAGCTTGTTATTTTAGTATATTGTCAGGGTGTGAAGTCACCAGTTTTGGATTTAGATTAAAAGCAAAGAATCTGGTGGTCATGTCAGAATAATGGACAAAGATAATAACAGGTCTGGAACAAAGGAATATCATCTGTCACCTTAAAGTCGGATCTTTTGAAGTGGGGGTAAGGCTGTAAATGATAAATATCTTACCTGCTGCAGACAGGTCTTTGAATGGCCTCAGGTTGGAGAAATGATTTAATTATGACAGATTGATGAGCTAACCTCATATAAGGGGATTGTTGAAGTTTTAAAACTCCAGACTCAACATGTCTTAGTGGTACATGTGAATCTTCTGTGGTATAAAATAATGTAAAATAGCCTTCTCATACATTCATCATCATCATTTTATTTATTTTTAAATGGCACTGCATATACAGGTCTTTCTCAAAAAATTAGCATATTGTGATAAAGTTCATTATTTTCTGTAATGTACTGATAAACATTAAACTTTCATATATTTTAGATTCATTGCACACCAACTGAAGTAGTTCAAGCCTTTTATTGTTGTGATATTGATGATTTTGGCAAAAAAGAAAAAGAAAAATCAAAAATCCCTATCTCAAAAAATTAGAATATTTCATCTGACCAATAAAAGAAAAGTGTTTTTAATACAAAAAAAAGTCAACCTTCAAATAATTATGTTCAGTTATGCACTCAATACTTGGTGGAGAATCCTTTTGCAGAAATGACTGCTTCAATGCGGCGTGGCATGGAGGC